TATTACAAGTATGTGAGTTCCTTTTATATATTATTTCGTACCTATTTCTTAGCATTTCTTGCATTACGAACTGAGTCACGGCTTGATTTTTCTAACAAATTAGTACTAATTTTTCATTTGTTTTGTCTTTAGTTAATTTGTTAAAGTTTTGGTACAATTAAATCAAAATTAAGTTGTCAATCGTGATACAGCTTTCTTTGGTTCGGCTTGTCAGTGTCCCACTCATATAGGTACCTAGATACAGGAATACCTCGTGCTGAATACCTTAACAAAAGGTTTTTCATTTGCAACGGTTAAACTGGATATCAAACAAGAAATTTAGCAATAACTAGAAAAGTCTGAGTAGATGAAGACTCTTGTCAGAATACAGAATTTATTTGGTTAAATTTAGAAACGAAACACACGAAACAGTTGCTATTAACTACTGAACCTACTTGACCCAGCGGCATTGGTACTAACAACTCACTACGAATTCGTGAGACCTGCAATCAGCCTTGATCTACCTGACTGACTTTTGTCGCTCCTTTTGCCGTTTCTTTACAGTAGAGGAAGAATTTGTATTTTATCTTGACGAGCCAGTGCCCCTCATTTATCAAAAGAAGAATTAATATCTCTTGGGCCACTATTCTCACTGGTATGGTACCGAGTTCTAGTCGTTTAAAATTAGGGATATAGACAAGTTTATTGAATTGTCAGGTTTGTTCATGTTTACTTAAATATGATTATTTTGTCAATTTGTGCCTCTAAGTCCTGAAGTTCAAATCCATCTGTACCAGTACATCGAGCGAGTTTTTGAAATATGTTTCTCTTTTCTTCCACTTTATTTTCCTCTTTATCTTTCATTTATCTATGTCTTTGAGTTCTAAGCTCCAACTCCGTTTCGATACCAATCCGTTTCGATATATCCAGTTGGTTTTTGACCTATGTTTCCCTTTACTTCTACTTTACTTTACTCTTCTCTTATCAATTTATATCTTTAAGTCCAACTCTGAATCAAAACAAGACAAAATTAAAAAAAAATTTTCAGCTATTTCATTCTATTTAATTGTTATATTACGTTATCTTTCATTAAAACGTATCTACGAGCCTACGATATAGGTTATCTGTCATACTCTATATCTGTACCGGAACACACTTCCATTAAAGAAAACTATCTGTTTTACACTTGCTTAATCTTATTATTAATTTTACAGTTATTACGCAGTATCTCTATGCCATAGTGTAGATATACATATATATATATATATATTCGATATACCATATGTATGTACCGAAACATGATTAAGTTGGAATCTTCTTCTTAGTATCCGTTTCTCCTAGTGCGGCATAGGGCCGCAACGATTCTCTTAAGCCGCACTCTGTTAGGTGCTTCTTTGCATATATCCTTCTATGTGTAGTGCGCTTCTGTCATTTCTCTTTCAATTGTAATTCTACAAGTTAAAGCCGGTGCACGAAGGCGTCTGCTGCCTTGTGGGTTCCATGTCAAAGTTTGTAGTGGAATGTATTTATTTGGTCGTCGGATGGTATGTCCAATTCCATGTTCGCGTTTTTATTTCGGTTACAGCAATTTTCTGATTTGTTTGGAGCAAAAGTTCTGCATTTGATATGTGGTTAGGCCGTCATATTTCTAGGATTTTTAGCAGGCATTTATTTGAAAATGTTCATCCTTTCTATCTGTTTTATATATTTTCATGTTTTACTGCTTTTACATTTGCATTGAAATAAATAACATTTAATATCTAAATAATCTCAACACCTCATTGGAATAAATCTTACATCTTATCTCTTCAAAATTCTTCTTTAAAATACTGGGTAACAATGACTGGATCACAACTTTCTCCCCGTGAATTTTGAACTTTTTTTGAAATTGTTAAGTAATTTTCGCACAATTTTAAAAACCGTTAACAGAAAATTAAATAAATCCAATAAAAATAACTTTGGCTGTCACTGTCTCCCGCCGAAGTGGCAAAAAAAAGTACGAAAGCTGGAATGAACACTACGCCAAATGTAGCAAATATTTTATGTCAGTTCCAAGTATCAAAATAAATCAGCAACCTTAAAAGACGGTCAACCCGAAACGAAAATAAAGTAAATTTTACCCAAAAGGGTTTTAAGCAACTTTAAATACACGTTAGAGGAAAGACCACACCTTGATGAACGACGTCGTCAGAAAAAAATTTGTTAAATAATTTTAAAAAAAAATAAAACAAAAAACCCAACTACACAGGAAAATTGTGCACTCAGCAGAGCACGAATGATGGCATCAATTCATCAAGACTGGCGTGAAGAAAAAAAATGTGAGTTGCATTGGAAAAAGAAAAACTGATTGCAGTACCAAAGTTGAAAATAACAATCCTGCACTGAACTCTGACGCAAAAGTTGGTAGCAAAATTGACACTAACAACAAATGTCGATGAGTAATGTGTCAGCAAGGCATTTAACGTTGCACATCAACGCTTCCACCTACAGTTGAAGGCGGCTGAAGGCACCTGAAAACAAGTCCCAAGAAGTTGGCGGCGTTTGCTTGCTTGTTTTGCTATGCAGCCGATGATGCACAACATAAATGCGTTACGCTGCACACTAATTTCAGACTGAAAACTTGCTCCTTCCTATGCAGCAGACGAGCAACACCGCTGAATCCGTCTGTATGTAAGTTCGGTAGCTTGAATAACCTAATCGCAAACTTCGTTCAAGTCATCAATAATTTTGCACGCTTAAGAGTGGAAAACCGTTATTGGAGGTTATTGCCTACGTTCGAGATGAGCATGTTCTAATGCCCCAAAAAGCTGGAATCATGAAACTGGCAAACCTTTTAGAAGTGCGTCCAATAAAATAGTAGTTGGCTAACACCTTAAACTTTACCTGCCCGCATTGCCAGTTGGTGAATGAGTTCCATGTGTTTTCATTTCCTTGGATTTTAATGCATTACATCAGTCTAGGTGGGTCCAAATAGAGTGGCATGCTGTACGGCTCAGTGCGAGTAACTCGTACTAATGCAATTAATATTCAACGCCTTTAGCTGATCACATATTACGTGTTGAATTTCTAATAAGTTTCGGCTTTGTCGCTGTGCGGTGCGGTAGCCTAATAGAAAATGACTATAATAATGGATACTATTTTTTTCTTAAGTTTTATGGGGTGTGTTTGCAATTTAGACACAGAAATTTAGAAATAAAAGTTGCTTTCCAGCTATAACGAATAAACTATAGCCAAAGTTGCCACTCAAATGCGTTCGTTATTCGGTGAATTGCGCAAAAGTTGGGAACTGCATCTGTTGTAGGTAAAGCTCAAGAAATGCAACAAAAAATTCATTAAAATTCTACGCTGCTTAAGAAAGTAAAACCGTTAACATCGACAGGCATGGCAAATGATCAGTTCCTAATTGTGTATGCACAATTTAAGTAGCTCCAACATTTAATTATAAAAGCCAGTTTCTAATCATATTGATAGATCACATGCTGGCGAGTTTGATACTTCCCTGATAGAAAAGAAAATATTATCTTTAGTTATAGAAATATTAAGTATATACTTCCAATACTTCATTTATAGAAGTATGAAGACTATACTATACCTAGACTTTACGTCAGTTCAAGTATGAACATATGCCTACTATCCTATCTTAAAGTGATTAAGATTTTCAGTCAGGAATATCTTTAGGCACATACGGCGCAACAAATGTTTCATCATGATCATCATATCATGTCAAATTAGTGTTAATTTAGACACACATGAAACATAAAGTGTTTTATTGTGATTATCATTTCACTTTGAATTAGTGTTTATTTAGGCACATACGCTGCAATATTATGACAAAATGTATATAAACCGAAGAAATATACTAAATCAGTACTTAACAACTACCCAACTTTCTCAACCTATCACTCCCGCGATCAAATGTGTTTGAACCCTATTGCTGGCAACTTTCTTATAACTAAATATTTATTTCAACGCGTATATCATTAGTCACTTTCAATAGTTTTCTGAACCAATTATTTTTTGTTATGTTTAATCTAGTTTACATATATTATTCGGTTCAGTTAGCGGTACCTGAACTTTATAGATCTATGCATCCACTTTCCTTCCCTTTAATACTTATTCGTGTGCTTTAAAAATAAGTTTCTCGAATATAAGTCTTACAGCTGATATCACTGATACTAGATAAGTGTAAACAACTTCAATATGTTACTACTACCTATTCCACATATGTTAGTTTTTAAAAGTACAAATAAATAACGATTTGTACTTGTCCAACTTTCGCATTGGGGCCTTAACTCAGCTATGTTTTTGAAAACCAATTATTTCTATAAAAAGTGCTTAGACCTCTTATTTAAATATGTTTAATGGAAATAATTAAAATTGCATTCTTTTTGTTATAATCTAGTATGTTTTGCATTAGTTTAAGCAATCTTAAATAATGAAATGTAAACAAAATTTAGTAAAATATAAACTGTCAATCTTGTCGGTTGTATTTACTTCAGGTTGAAACAATTAACAGTTTAACAGGTATTGTAAAAACTGAAAGCAATAAGAATTACATTGACTTGGAAATTTGTAATAAAATTGTGTCTTTCCAAATGGATTCTGGTGCAACAGTTTCTCTAATAAATAAGCGAACATTCAAAACTCTAAATTGCCCAAAGTTGCGAAATTGTACAAAAACCTTATTTGGTTTTGGCAAAAATGAAATTCCAGTGCTTGGTGAACTTTGCGTATATATCAAATGTGGCGGAAAAGAAAGGGAAGTGGTAATCGTTGTCGTGGATGTCGAAAACTGTAACAATTTATTCGGTTTCGATTTATTCAAAGAATTCGGGTTTGAGATTCAACAAATTTGTAACATTACTGAAAGTGAATCACACAGAATTAGCGAGCTGTGTAAGAAATATGGTGATATTTTTGAACCAGCTCTTGGCACAATAAAAAACTTTAAGGTCAGTATTTTTTTAAAGCCAAATGCACATCCGAAATTTTACAAAAGCCGACAAATTCCATTTTCGCAAATGTCACTTTTCAAGAAAGAAGTCGATCGATTGACAAATGCGGGTATTTGGAAACCTGTGAAGTTTTCCCAATGGGCTTCGCCTATTGTACTAGCGCCAAAAGCTGATGGTTCCATAAGAATTTGTGGGGATTTTAAACAAGCAGTCAATGCGCAAATTGACATTGAACAATATCCTTTACCCATACGCGAAAGTCTTTTCCATAAAATTAATTGCGGTCAACATTTTACAAAAATCGACCTTAAGGACGCGTATTTACAAATGGAACTCGACGATGAAGCAAAAACAATAATGGTTGTCAACACTCCACTTGGTTTATTCCAATACCAACGTTTACCGTTTGGGATTGCAAGCGCTCCAGCTATATTCCAAAGATATCTTGAGCAGTTACTTCAAGGCGTAGAAGGTTGTGGAAATTATCTCGATGACATCATCATCTCCGCACCTACATTTCAACAACACATCAGCCGCCTAGAACAAGTACTTCGTATTTTGCAACAAAATGGTATCAGATGCAAGCAAGAAAAATGTTTCTTTCTACGAGATAAAATCGAGTATCTCGGGCGTCAAATTAGTGCAAAAGGTATATTGCCAGATGAGTCGGGACTAAAAGCAGTAAAAAACCTGCAGCCGCCTAAAGATCTAAAGCAAGCAGAAGCAT